AGAACTTGCACAATTGGTGGCTGACTAAATACTTTTTTGCCCCACTGTATGAAGAAAATCAATAGCTCCATTCAAAATAGTCATATAGCTATAGGAAGTCAAGCCTCTTCTGAGGCAGGCTTGACTTCTGATTATATCCTGGACATGTTTATGTTGTTTTCTTAGCAACAATACAAAAGTAGTTTGCCACTGCCTACTTTTTTTCTGAGATTGTCTGGTGATCTTCCATCCAAGGATTAACCAAGTCTGATCTTGTTTAATCTTTTTTGGGATTACAAAAGAATTTTAGAAAGCAGAGCAACTAAAATGTCTACCCCATGGAAACACTAGTTCATACAGTATTTTCACTTTATTTGAATTGGCCACAAGCCCACTAGTGTTCCATATCATTTGCAAAACAAAGAGAAAGTAAACCAGGCAGCACTGTAATGACACTTTTATTAAAATCAGTGGGAGTTCCTGAATAAATATACTTGCAAAATCAGAAATTCACCTTTATAGATAATAGATATTTTGAATTTTCCAGGATCCTACAGCAGGGCTCATGTTATTTAATAATTGTATTATTTTTGTTACTGTTGCCTATGTTTAGGTTTGTTTTAAATTGTTTGTAATCTCTGTAGGCCATCTAGAGTTGCACTGGCAATTGAGGCAGTTAATAAATTGATTAAATACATAAATCCTCTTTTCCTTGAAAATAATGTGGCCCATAACAGTAGTTCCTTGCAATGTATTTTTGATTTTGGAATTAGGTAAATTTGACTGTAATAAATTTATCCGGTATAAATTTATACTGGATATTATCCACAAGACTAGATATTTTAGAATGATATCTAATGAAGATTTTTCTGCTGCCAAGGGGCAATTGTCCCTTACCTCCAAATGTCCTCAAAAGCTAGTCTAGACGCCCCCACAATCTTCTGGGGTAGATTTTAAAGATATGAGTGGAGCAGGACAGAAAAAAGTCTCATCCACAAGCAGAAATCTACTTGCATGACACTCACTTTCACTATATAGTAAGTACCTAGTTTCTGCGGTTTTATAAATTGCTCTACCTTGTCCCTTCACTTACGTTGATTCAAAAGGTCCTGAATGCCACCAAACATCTTCTTAAAAATAGCAGCTATGCCAGCACTCATGTGACAATCCTCACTAATACAATGAGCCAAGGAATCTGTTTTTGGACAAGTAAAAAGGTCTCCCTGTACATATTTAATCTGATTAAAAATGAAACAGAAGATACAATACATGAGATATAATTTCAGAGCTAGAACAATGTAAGGCAATATATATAAAGAGAATATCATAACTTAAGCTGCTGATAGCCTCACATAAGAGACTCTTAATGCTATGAACCTATATGTATTTACTCAAATTCCCACTATATAATAGGACTTATTTTGAGATACGCACAAAATAAAACAATGAAACTTAATGGAATTTATTTCCAAAAAAAATACGTGTTATTGTGCTCTCAGTAACATATTGTTGTTAGCATCCATAAACTGAGCTTAACTGCTGGTGACTTCATACAGTTCATATAGTTTTCTAGGCAATAGTACTGCACTGGCTTGCCACTGCTGCCTTCTCAGACATTTTCTTGATTTCCTACAGCCCTGGGATTTCTTGGCAACCTCCTATTCAAGTAGTAATCAGTCCAATGTCATTTAGCTTTTTTTTTTTTTTTAATTCAGCCACAGCTAGTTACGTTAAAATTGGGCATGAGTGTCTACTATAATACAAATTCAAACGAGCTTCTCTAATATCTGAAGGATCACTTTTCCTGGTATATATCCACTCAAGCATTAAAGTCTCTGCCCTTTCAAAGTTGTACATCATGCAGAGAAACTGGAGAGGCTCTTCTAAGTGTAACACCTAGATTCAGAATCCTCCTCCTCTTGGAGATTTCATACTATGTTGGCTTTATTTTAGTGTCAGCTTCTAACCTGTTTTTCTGTTGAAAGCTCTGTATATTTTGGATTACTGGTTTGTTTTGTTTTAATGAGATATTTGTTATCACAATACTTTTTACTTCTTCAAGATATGCTTGTCAACCACCTTTCTTATCTTTAAATTTGTGTTGGGACAATTGAAATTTTAATTTTTGTTTTGAAGCATGATCGTAACTCTTTTTCTTCGGAAGAAACTTCCATTAAGGAATAATTTTCTTTAAGCCTTCACTGGAATCACTAGACTGACTTACAGGCAACTATAGTTAAAACAGGCACAACTGACTGGTTAACTTATTTTGGAAACAAAGTTCTACAGCTGCTGAGTTAGGGTATTTGTGGACTCTGTGAATGGCACTCAGGGAATTTATAAAATGGGGGATTATCCCACCAATACTTTATAGAGGTACCACTGAATATTTTCTTTTCTAGATAGCAGAATTTTGTAAGGAAACATACTTCCTTTTAAATATATCAAGGAAATCATAATTATAAACCTTTAGGGGAGTAATAGTTTTATCTCATGCTACAGAGGTCTAAGGCTTTACACCATACAAAAAAATAGATTTTGAGATAATGGGAAGCCTCCTTGTATAGGCTCATGCTGCAATCTATTCTGGGAGCTGCATGTTGTAGCATAAAATCAATGTAAGTATTCCATGATAACAATCAATGTCCAATTTATGCTGTAAACATGATGCTAGAAAAATCTTCAGTTAGTTACCACAGTGTCTCTTACTGCAGAACTATAGGCACAGTTTCTGCCTTAATGATCTACTGTAGTACTGGATTAAGGGCATATTATCTGTGACTGAATATAAACAATTCTTAAACCTCCATTATCTGTATCTATACAAAAAGGTAGTCATACAAAAGTTCAAGGAAAGGCAAGTGAGCAGTCCTTCACCTTGTATAATTATTTCCTCTTAGCATCCTGCAAGGGAGAAACTATTTGGAAGAGTTTTCGTCCTTACGGTGCAATTTAATATGTCATAGAAAAGTGATCTTGTTCACAAAATACACTTAAGTGAAGCTCAATCAGGCCACATTAAATTTCATATAATTTGGAATTTCATGTCACTGTGATTTTCAAGCATGATTTATGACTTAGCAAACACAGGCTCTGTACAACATGCTTAAACCCATAGCCTGTAAGACAATGCAATACACATGGAAACCAATACATTCCAGACATTTACACTAATGCCCTTAGACTCCCTGCCTCACTTTTCTTTTAGCATATTTATTTTTAGCTGTGCCTCTTGGCCCCACAAAAATTCTACTAGATAGTAGCCACTTTGTTAAAAGGAAAGTCTCTTATGGTAGCCATCTTGTAAGTGCATCAATCACAAAATCACTCTTGAAATTCCACATGCACTCTTAGCACAAAAAGGCTGGCTATTTCTGGTCTATAAAACTGATTATTGGTATAGACTAACTTTGAGATTTTTATACAGAGCAGGAGGAGGAACTATTTATATTATTATAGTTTTCTAACTGCTGCTTTGGGAAATTGCCAAGTAACATGGGATCAATTTTCTTATGAATCCAGTTGCGAGTGTTCTTTCTTTACTACAATGTTTTACAACCTGAGCAATCAGCTAGTCCAAGAAAGGAGACAATAGGAAGGCCAGAACTGCCAACAGCACTGGCTTACAGACACTGCACAGTGTGTTAGATAGGTAAAATATGAACATTAGTATTGAACATGGATTGTATTGTAAATCATTTGGCAGAACTATACTGGTGCCATACTAAGCTGAAATGAAACGTATAGAAAAATTTATTCCAATAGAGTTCTGCAAAAACAAAACCCCAAAATCAATCTTCCATAGCTAGATTTTTTTTAAAAAAGAGACAAGCTAATTTCTGTTATAAGAGATAAAACTATATTTAGAATTTAAAACTGAATTGCAACAGATAAAAATAAACTCCACTACGAACCCTTTCTTCATTTCCAGAAATCCGGGTGCTAGCCATAACTGGGTGGATCACGGTTTGTTTGTTTTTTCAGCTATAAGGACTAGAAAGGAATATAGTTTTCATATTCATGGCGGGAAAAGCAAGCAAAGAGAAATGACTACTACAAAAAACTTTAAATTTTTGTAAACCCAAAACCACTAAATACGAATCAGGTCACTAAGTTACGTAGCGATAATCTTGCCCTCCCCCGCACAAAAAAAGTTTTGGTTTTTTTGCAGTCTCTGAGCCTTTTTCTTTTTAACACATCCCTCGCCTTCTGCGTCTGAGAAGGAGAGGAAATGGGTCGCAATCCTCACAGCACAGGCCCTATAAAGGGCCACGAAAGCGTTGCTTTTGCGACAATCGACGGACACCGAAACCCTCCGAAGCCGCACCAAAG